ACCCGGTCCAGCGCGTCCATCCCTGCCGAGTCGCCTCACGTGCGCGCCCCGCCGCCGTCAGGAGACATCATCCGGTACCTCACATCCGCCGCGGGAAGGGGGCGAGGGCAAGGCGGGCGCCAGAAAGCGCTCGGGTTCGGGCAGTGAGCATGCGCGGAGCAAGCCCCGCCCCGCCACGGGCGCGTGTGGGGGTGCTTCCCCCTGTGAGAGCATTCTCCTTTCCCGTCAGGTGGGGGCCGCGTTGCGCAATAATTCTTCCCGCTTAGAGAGACGCAGTAGGCGTTGCCGTGCTCCTGCACCTTTAGTATCCGAGTTACATGCTGCTTTCCCGTAGTTAAATGACGAGTCCCAAGTAGTAGGTGCAAATCAATTAACACACAAGTAATGATGCAGTTACGCAACTGTACGTAACTGCAGCAGTAGCTGATCAACGTGTTTCTGAGCTTTTTGCTTACCCTCCTCTCATCCCTGGCACGTTGGGAACCACATTAAAGTTGTACAGCTAAAACGTGCCATTTTAAACCCAACTTCCCACAAAATTTACTTATTTGGAAAGACTGATGCAACTATTATGACTGGAGAACATGACCTTATACGTAATAGAAACCAAATGCCAAAGACTTATTTCTGCCTAAAATCCCTAATGTGGTAGCATCACTGTTAAACTGGTACCTACTCTTAACCTAAAAAGCTTTGGGTCGTATCAAAGCCTGCACGCCTTCAGTCAGCTGGTTGGAGCTGTTCAAATTTGTTGCATTTGCTCCTTGGGTTGGTGTTTAAAACAGAACAGAATGAGCAGCCTGGTCAGGAGCTTCTGTCCAATTTTTCTTTACTTACATCCCCTTCCAGTTTTAGTCCTGTGTCTTCACAGGGCAAGAAAAATATTTCTGTTTTCTCTCCTCCCAGAGATTTACACATCGTAGAGTATATAAAATAGCATGAAATGCTGAAAGCTGATTTAACAGATCTTGGATATTTGACATACTGCCCTTGATTTTAATTAGACAAAGAGCTTTTCTGCAACCTCTCTCAAGAAGACAAGTTGTTTGATCGCGACTTGAAAATTGAAGGTACAAGAAAGCCGAACTACCCATCAAAATCCAAAGAACGTAAAGCAGAAAAATCATCCCCTGCCTGCCTACATCTAATTCATAATATGCCCACCTCCCAGCCTTCCTGTAAGCTAAACACTTCATGTGCTGCATTTTGCTGCTGTAAACCCGCTTGTCTCTGAATCTTTTCCAAAGTTTTTTAAAATCTTTTTTTTTTAAGTGCTAACGCTGAAAATGAACGCTTATTTTATCAGTAGTCTGAACATCATATACCCTGGTAACTGTCACAATGTGCAAAGAAAAAGTGCTTAATGCCAGACATGGCAAGGAACTACCGGGATGGCCTAGTATCTAGGCACAAGGACATGAACCATATGTAATAACCAGGCAAGGATGATTTCGGCAATAATCCTAGTCCAGCTATCATACTCACCCAATACTCTTTTACTCCACATACACCCACCCACCAATTTTGAACTGCACTTGAAGTAACCAACTTGTTGGGCTTTTTTGGGCAAAATCAGTAAAGCTGAAGAATTTGCTATCAGTAGCAGTGGACTCATAGTACCTGCTTTCTAGGAGGAAGGGGGAAAAGATGGGTAAAGAGTAAGTATGGTTGCAAAAGTCAGGGCTAATAATGATAGGAAAAAAAGTTTATTTATGTTATTATAAATAACATTTAAAATCTAAAAAAATTATGACGGTACTTATAGTTTATGATATACATAAAACATTAAAAAAAAAACCCTGATTCCCAGGTAAACTAGAACAAAGAAACAGCTTCAGTATACTACTGAAAAAACAAAGGCTGAAAAAGGTCCGAAACCAACTCTGCTAGAATACTCCTCGCACATAATAAAAAAATTTACACGTATATAGTGACAGATTTAGCAATTGGTTAACAAAACCAGTAAGAGAGAGCTGCTATGTTAGCACGCTGACAGAGAATAAACTCTTGGAGGCACCTCTCCATTCTCAGCGGCAGAAGCTACGATAGCGAGCGCTTTCTATCTACAGCACACCCCGTCTCTCTAGCAGGAGGTTCAGCTGTCAGCAAGTGCAGCCCAGCACCGCAAACGCTCCCCACTGCAGACAAGTGCTTACATTATACCAGTTCATAATATTCCTAAGATCATTATTCCAGTTATAATTATCCTCTGTCTATCAGCACCATACAAATCAAGTTTGAACAATGCTTTTAAACTTCCACGATTGCAGCTAAATCCAGAGGGAAGGCTGAGCAGTCTCCCTGAAACCCGAAGCGCAGACACTACCATGTGAAAGATCCGTACCCAGGCTGGAGGCGTTACAGAACATGATGTCTCTTCTTCCTCACCTTCCTCTCCCTGTCTCCCCTTCCCCCATGATTCAAGTTGCTTCTACATAGGAAAACAGAATAGTGGGATTGATGGTTTGAAACTGTTGCACTGTTTTGATGACTTCTTTTTACTGGTCCTGTGCTGTGAACAATGCTGGGGGTGAACTTCTCTTCTGATCATTACTAATTAAAGTATAATAATAATTACGCTGGATTTAATTAGGCATTCCCATCCCCAGTGCATTGTTGCAGTTAAACTATTTTGAGGGAGGTAGAGAAAGGTAGGAAGGAAGAAAGGTCAGGAAGAGACTGTTTTATGTTTAAAAAAATACTGTGCTTTTAAAAACATCATGAATGCACCATATACTCAACTTTTATATGAAATACTACGTGACAATATAAGTGATGTAGCAATATGTAATATCAACCCACAGACTAGCTACAATACAGCCAGGTGGATCGGTTTGGGAACCACTGACGCATGGTTACAGGAACGTAGGCATAAAAACCTTCAGAAAAATGCCAGAGGAGAAGATCAGAACCAAGAAGTTACCGGAGGGGGAAGGGGGGAAGATACTTCCTTTTCTATAACATACATTATATTATATACAAAATGGGGGAAGGAAGAGTGACAGATGCCTCATTAAGACCTAGATTTCAGTTGCTGACTAGGCCACAGGGGTTTCAAGACTTGACCGGACAAAGCCCTGAGCAACTGGGCCCAAATTCAGTCTTGACCCTATTCTAAGTACGAAGCTCGACGAGACACCTCCTGAAGTCCCTTCCCACATGAAGGATTTCTAAGATCTGTCAAGGGGACAAAGGATCCAGAGAAAATCCAAACTAAGCAATTTGATGAGTAATCAAACAAGTAATAAAAGCCACACTTACTTGAATTTTTCTTTCAATAACTGCAGTACAAGAACAGACATAATAGGTGGCTAAATATGACACACAAGATGAAACTATACTTGAAAAATTCAGGACTTTATTTTAAACAATTTTTTTTTTTCCTTTTTTCCTTTCTACAAAATGTTCCAGACTGTGCAATACATCAACATTTTTCTAAGGTAGGGGTTTTTTTAATTATGTAACAATTTCCTCTTCTTCAATTTTGAGGTAGAGATACACACATTTCCAATCAGCATTTTTAAAAAACACTTAAGCCCTCCCCACTATAATCCAAACATAAAAGCAATGCACAAGAACACAATGTCCATTTTTCCACTATTAATTGCTCAGACAAATTGGAAAGCATGTCACGGCCTATAGAAGTTGGCATTTAAAAGTTGGCCCATTAATTCCATGAAGAAATCCTGAAAAGATCACAGCTGATATCATGGAGGGGCATCGTCTAAGGCAACACTTCCAGAAGGAGAATCCTCTGCCCCAGAAGCAGGGCTGTCAGGCAGAGGAATAGAGGCATCTATTTCCAAGCTGTGCTGCTTCTCCAGATCACAATTCATGTCAGAATTTCCTCTGCCACTCACCTTTCCCTCTGACTCCTCAGTCAGTTTGTCTTGGGCCTGAGCTGACTCCTCAGAATCTTCTTTTTCACGCAGAAAGCTGCAAATCGTATTAGGCCTGCTGTAGGAAAAATCTCTGTCCTTGATCTGTAACCACTCCACTCCACCTGATGCAAAGAAGGAAAATTTATATTGGTGACAAAAGGAGTTGAGAGTTACAGCAGTTTTTTCTTAGTTCACTGTTACTAAGGCTGAGCCTGACTAAAATTTAAGTAAAAGAACCACTTAGGATAGAAAGATGTCTTTCAAGAATTTGGACCAACACTAATTTTTGTGGCGAGTCTCACCATGGGGCTTAAACCATTAATTTTCCTTGAAAAATAAGGCTATGAGTAACAGAAAGGCATTTGATAAAGAAAGACCAGCTTAAAATTAAGAGAAACTTAACTGTTGATAAATTGACAACAACATGCATAGGCTAAACCAACTTAACGAAGACATATAGCTACAGGTTTTTATCCAGATACTGGAGGCACTGTGTATGGTTCAGTGACGTCACCAGCTTGGTCTCTAAAGAGCAGCCACAATGGAGATAAAATTATTAGGAAAGTAATAAAAAGGAATGTCAAGAAACTATGCTCCTTCAATGTCACGAGTACTATGTCCTGCTCAACCCATATTGTAAAACTAGAAAAGAGAAACAAGAATGGGTGAAAGTAAAGTTAGCTCTACATGGGAAGAGACTTTAAAAACAAACAAACAAACAAACAAACAACAACAACCACCACAAAAAAAAAGGCAACAAAAAACCGACAGAGACTAGAATTCTACTTGGAGGAGACAGCTTAGAGGGGGCAGATGTTTATAAGGCTGTACTGGGAAAACAAGTAGGGATTGATTTATCTCCTAATTCTGATAACAAACGAAGTAACTTGCACTCATTGGAAGCACCAGATCATACATTTGTAACAACCGCAAAAGCAAACTATCAAGAAAACCCACAGTAAAGTTGTACTTTTTCCATACAACAGAAATGTGATTTGAAAACTAACTGCCATAAGAAGTGGTAGAAGTCAAAAATATAGACCAGTTCAAAAAGCAAGTGAAGATGACAGAGCCTTTATGGACTAAAGGCGTAGTAGTACAGATGAAATCTCTTGTCAGGACATTCATGAACTGTTGACACCAGAAGGATAGCCAAAAGAAAGGATTACTCATGTATATGTCCCCCTCCTACTACTTTCCACATACCCATTTACTGCTGTCCATAGTCAGAAATACAATACAGGACTAAAACACCTTTGGTCCAATCCAGTATGGCAGTTCCTGTTGTATTTAGGTGTCAGACACCACCCTTAGACTCTTAAAATAACTTAAATATAATTCAAAATGCTGAGAAAATACTTTACAAATGCAATAAAGAGAATAAAATGTTTGTTCACCTAAATCTTAGAACAACTGGTAATATGATACGGAATGACATCAGAGATAGTGTAAGAATTTGTGTCATCTCCTGAACTCAAGTATATCAAGCTCTTACAACATGTACCGAACAGACTCCAAATAGAACTGGGATTCCTCTCCCACTTAGATTTTTAGGCAGTGCATATTGCCAATTCACAAGATGTTGCAGTTACCTTGTATGCACAACATTAAACTTCTGTCAGGGTACAGAAACAAACTGTTTTTCAGCAGGTTATCATCATTATTGCTCCTCCAGAACAAAATAGGCCTTTGTATTAAGCAACATATTCTCTAGTCTATTGTACTTTAAAAATAATAGTTTCTGTTTATTATTACCTACTTAATTATATGGAGAGAAGAAACGATACATGGTGTTGATAAGAATGCTGATGGTTGGTTAGATTCTAGATGACATTTCATGTTTTACCTCCTATGATCAACGTCCAGCTGACTGCCCATATTTAATGTAAAATGGCTACATATTCTTAAAATATGAAGCAGTAACACTGACCTGAGTGAAAAATAGCAACTAAAAGCAATAGGAAATAGGATACTGCTAATGAATACTACTATATACAGTAAGATACTCAATATCTGACTATGTAAAAGCATTGACTTCCGTACGAAAAAATACCACTGAAATAAAGCAAACATACGAGCACTGAGTTCTGCCTACAGAATGAAAATCAATATGAATGGTCGGCTAGGTGTGTCTTTGCAAGTAACTTAAATTCATTTACAGTTAACTGTAAATTCATTAGAACAATTCAGTTGTAGTACATACCACATGGAACTTCTTACTAAGGATATTATAGATTTTCAACAACTACAGAGACTCAAAAAGTCATCAGAAAAATTGATGGAAGTAAAAATAAAAAAAAAAAACCCAACAAATCAATGAAGAACTACTAAACAGCACCTCTGATTTCAGAACTAGTGCCAAAACTTTTAAACTTTTAGATGACAGAAAAACATACCAGGGAACATCAGCATATGTTTGCCCTGCTCTTACACTCTTCTGTAGGAATCTCCTATTAGCCACTTTTGGAGGCAGCACTGGTCAGAAGGAATCTCTCTCTCTCTTTTTTTTTTTTTTGTGTTTTGTTTTGTATTATGGTATTTAAATGTACACATTTGTTGCCTAAAAAAGAAAGTTCCTCTAACTTCCTGCATGCTCTTGAATCAAACACTTAATCAAGGCTGACACTCCTAAGCATAATCCATCCATGTCCCTATGCATAAGAGCAGAGGCACTAACCAACATTCTCTTCTCCTTCCTTCTTTTCTGTCAAAAGTGTCCGTGTCATGTTCAACTTCTTCATTGTGTGGCACTTGTATTTCAGCTGTACTTTTTGGTTGCCTTCTGCATCTACTATGAAGAGAGGAGAAAAAACAATACCCAAAACCCAATCATTATAGTGAATTCCACTATCAACTGAAACAAGATAAGTATTTTTAACCTCCCAGGCTACCACAACAAACAGGACATCAAACCACAATTACCATGCTCTGTGTTTTCTTCAAAAACCACACAGGTTCCCAAGGTATCTATGGAAAACAAAGCGAGAAAGTCTTAAGAGACTAATTTATATCAACTGTAGATACTGCACCCACTGGCACAGCTCTGGGAACATTCTGACTTCCAGCCCCTCACAAAGACCCAGCACTGGTAACCACATTGCCAACTCAGGAACAGAGAGGAGTATCACAGTCATTGAAAGTTACTCCAAGAAAGGATTTCAGATCATTTTCGTCCAGACCAATGTTGTCACCATAAGGCAAATGGGAGAACTACAGATTGCACAACATGTCAGTCCTGCTTATACAGAAGATAACAAGCACTTACTTTAAGGCATTTTATGTCCCACATTTTTCCCTGCAGAAAAAGCAGCTGGTGCACCCCAAAGTCGGCTTCCAGGCATTCTTTCCAGTAAGTAACATGGATGCATGGCTAATTTAGCAGTGAACTCAGACTGGTGCTGCTCTATATGGTGTTATACAAACACCACCCAGAACTTCAGCACCTCAGAAGACCATGTTCTCCCATTCGCAGTGCAATTAACTGACGTTAAGAAAGTTCTTTGGGTCACATGAAAAAGGAGAGATTGTATCCACATAATTTTTCCTACCTTCATATTCTCCTGCAAATACATATCTGTCCACTTGTAAAATGGGCCTCTCTGTCTCTATTCCCTACAAAAAGAGGGACAAAATTGCACAGATGTCAGGTCTTTATTAGCCCAGGCAAATTTCTTGCTGTAAGATCAGAGAAGATAGGTATAGCAGAATCCAGATTACATAAATTCCTTGAAAAGATAAATAGTTAAAAAAACCAACATAAGGTAATAACAGTAAAATAAGTATTCCATAACATGGTAAATGTGAAATAAAAAGTTTCCTTTGGTATTAGAGAAAAGGAATGGATTCCAGACTGTAAAGCTTTCTCAAACTGTCAGCTTCATATGAAGAAAAGTACATCTTTAAAACAGGATTTATGGAAGTAGGTAAGAGAGTTCTGAAGAGGGTATGATTTTACAGAAGCTAGCAGATTCCTGAAAAAATGGCAAGACATGCAATTAAATTAGTATTTATTAGTTTTCAAAAAACATAACAGAAGTATTTTTAGTCTTGACCCTGAGGTCTTCCGCAGTGTTAAACATTGGGGGCAGGGGGAGAAGGAATTTTCTTTCCGTTTTTGTAGGCAGCTTAGTTAAGCAGTAGTAACAATGGTTACAAAGGGTTTAGCCACTCTTACTGTAGAATCAGTGTACTGTTAAAAAAAAAAAAAGAGTAATGACAATTTTTCAGTCTATCATCATACACGTTACTTTAAGTATATTAAATACAAAGAATATACCAGATAATACTGTTCTAGTAATCACAACAAAACCAACAATGCTGAACTGGTACAGAAAATGCTCTAGTATGTTAAAAAGGATCAAAGAAATTTAGATCAAGCTGCAGCCAACGGTCTATTCAGGTTACAGTACATAACTTTAAAGTGCTTTAAATTATTTCCTCTAGGAAATTAATTTAACCTCCATTTTAAATTAAAAAATAAAAATATATGTATTTGCATGAAAAAAGATGTTATTTTCTAAGCTCCAATTAATACAAGTTCTATGAAGTGGAGTAACTTTCAAAAGTCTTTGGAAAATACACAAGGGGATAAGTCCAGCATAAAGCATTACACCAGCACCAGAAGTGCAACTGCAGGGTCACAGAAGCTTCTGTGATTATTGTGTGTCTACATTGTGAAGGAGTTGGAAATTGTTGTTATTTAATTTTATTTTTTTAATCAAGAAGTGGGAGAGTAAGGCAGCAGTTCTATCAGCTCATTCCCTCCCTCTACAGCAGAGCTTTTCCAAGGCCAGGAAACACAGGCCAGGATCCCATTATTCTTAATATAAGATATACCTATAAACTGTATTTTGATAAAAATTAATGCCTGAACAGAATACACTAATTAAGGCAAAATGTCTTTTAATAGTACATCGTGAACATCAACATTATTCAGGACATGAAGATAAGCACACACTAAAGGTTCTGAAGACGAGGCACTGTGGTAAATTGCGGAAAATACAGAATATCACACAGGTTAATAAGAATTTGTGCAATTTTCATCTCGTACTTTTTTAAAACAGAAGTATCTAAGATCAACAAGATTTAAGCTCTGGGATTCTCTTTCTGCTGCGTAAGTTGAGAACATCAATAGCATTAAGTTAACACGTAGAACATATTTTTGGTTGTTTTTTTATTACAGGAAATTAATTAAAAAATGAACACATCAGTACTAGGCAACAGCATTAAGGTTTTTAATATTCAAAACTTTATTTCTTTGGCTAACTTGCATTCTTTTTTGGAATTCCTTTATGCAAAAATGGAGACTCTCTTCCCCTTATGTGACTAGCATCACACAAAACTTGCTAAACAGAGTAACACAAAGCAGAATCTTTTATTGGAGTTTTAACAACAGTTGTCCATTACGAAAAATCTCAAGGAATGCTTACTCTGTGGAGTGAGCGCAGGTAGATTTGGATACGAGTAGGACACAGTATAGATACTTAAAAGTTTTTCTAGTAACATTACAAGAGAATCTCAAAGCACAAAATTTAAAAGAATCCCATTAAGACTATTGAAAAATATGTAGCCATTCAGCTACCAGTAATGAATCATCTGTGTAATACATTTCAAGCGACTTAGGTCAGATCCAGGAAGCAAATCTGCTTATAAAAGCATATCCACCCTGTGATGGATAATTTATGAATTTTGATTGTATTTCTACATTTGAGATTTTCAGAATTGACTTTACCACCTCACATATATTCTGATCAGTGGCATACTCTGAGACGTTCTCTTCCATCTTTTCAGTTTATAATAAAGGTCTAGTTTCAGAAATTATTTGCAAATCAATAGTACTTGTACTATCTGTACCGCTCTCATAGTCCATGTAGGTTTTGAAGGGGAAGTAAAATTTGTCCCATACAGAGAAAGTGATTAAACAACTCAAAAGGAAAAGGACAGGTAAGCCAGATTCTTACAATAACCTCACAGTGCAGCAAACAACATCCGAAACTGTTTACCAAATGCTTAATACCCAGTTATCCTTTACACTTACAACACTTGAACTTGCCAGGCAGTATCTGGAAAAAAAACCATTGTAAATACAATGCAATTCAGAAAGATTTTGGCCTTACCTGTCAGCTGTATTCAAGTTATTTGAAGAAGTGTGCTTAACAATATTTCCGTTGAATGTGTAAAATACGTCATTTAAAAAAAATGAACTTAGAGCTTGAAATCAGAGGGGATAATGGTCCTAGCTTATAAATACTTCTAAAAATACTTCCTTATATTTACATAATACTATATTCAAAGACCATATGCCTTTTCTGAAACAGAGAGAGCCCACAACATGCAGCCAAATACGGCCAAGACAGTGCACATAACTCTCTATCAAAGATTTGATCTAAATGTTGTTGACTTCAAGGAATTTAGAAACAGCCTCAGTCCCTTGTTCACATGTGTACTGACTTACCCCTTTCCTATTGTGCTGTAATCACTCACCAAAATCTTGCATTTGTTTTCACATTTTTCTAAGAAGTCTGAATCAATAATTCCTGATAGTTCCACCATGACCAGTTGCTCCTACAAGATAAGTTTATAATGTACATCTGTAATTGATATATCTAAACTCAGGGAAAAAAAAAAAAAGCCCCCCCAAAAACCCCAACAACCCACCCAAAACAAAAAGAACAGCATACAAAGACCCAGACCTTCAGAACAGAACCCAAATCTTACTTATTCTGCATTTTGTCCAGAGAAAATGGCAGACAGATATTGCAATACCCAGGGAAACGCAGTGACCCACTACTCCATCAGACACCTGTTTCACACCTGAATTTCCAGGCCTTTTCTTCCTAGCTAGGAAGGGAGCTCTTTTTTCACCCTTGAAAAATGAGGATCGATATGGGTAAATGATTTATGAATTATAATAAAATGACCACATATTCCAAAATACATTTTTCCAAAGCTTTAGTACCTACCTAAATAAGACACCATAGCGAGAGGTTAAGTTAAGCAACGTGTTGCTTGAAATGGTTAACTTTTAACTCTTTAAAACATATTGCTTTAAAATTAATTCCTGTTTGCGATTCCTTACAACTTTGGGTGAGGAAAATACAAAAACAAAAAAAAGCCACCTTGAAAAAACTTTTATTCAAGGAAAAGAAGAGTTTTCAAGAATCACCATCTACTAAGCATCCATGATAACAGAAGCGTCATAGTTTGTTTTCGGATGTTATGGGGGTAGGAAGCAACTAAAACTGGAAGAGTGCTTTCTGACAACGCCGTTTTCCAGAAAACCTGAAGCAGAACAGCCAAACCGATACAGCTTTCGGGACACGACCGCTGCGGGGGCAGAGAAACCCGACAGGCCCAGGGAAACGCGCTCGCTCTGCGCCCGACCCCACCACCAGCCCGGGGGCAG